CCCTCCTCCTCAGAGCCTCGACCCCTGCTGCCCAGAGGGGTCTCCCCACTGCTGGGCCCTTACTTCCCCTCTGCCTGGAGCTTGCCCATTGGGGCCAAGATCCACTGCACCACCTCCTCCTCCTCCCCCTCACTGGAAAACCTCCACCCAGCCAGTGTGATAGCCCAGGGAGGTGATGGGGAGCCACAATGCTTGCCAACTTGACCCATCGGGCAGCCCACCTCTGCCTCCTCTCTGCCTCATGATTGCACATGCATGAGAAAAAGTGGCCCATTGTGCCAAGGAATGTAGCCTATGAAGTACCCAATGGGAAAGAAGGAAGTGCTACGAGGTCAGGAAGGGAATAATATGGAGGTATGCACTGGCTCTCTCCACAGAAATAAGGCAGGCCTTGAGATATCCTGCACCGTCATTGACTAGAAGGCATGCCAAGAGTGGAAAGAAGGGGTGAGGCCTAGTCAAACTTCTCCTTCTCCCCCCGCCCCACATTAGCTTCTTTAGCTGCCATGATACTGACTCTCAGGAGTGTGGGTGGTGACATTTTTGTCCTGGGACAATGGCATGCATGGCATGTGCCCTCAGAAAGGGCCTTGTGTGCCAGAGTGGGCATGTGTGCCATGCATTCACCAGCACAGGCCTATAAGTTACTTCTGTTGTTATTTAAATATATTTAGGGCCTTTACAGACTGCTAGAAATAATGAAGTTTGAGGCCACTTTAACTGTCCTGGCTCAGTGCTAGGGAATCATGGAAATTGTAATTTTTTAATGGATCATTGAGCCTTCTCTGTCAGAGTGCTCTGGTGCCACAATAAACTACAGTTCCCATGATTCCCTAGGACTGAGCCAGAACAGTTAAAGTGGCCTCAAGCTGCATTATTTCTGGCAGTCTGTAAAGGCCCTTAAACTTTAAGTACCAGGTACACAACACAGATGTGGTTTATTACATGGAAAAGGTGGGCAAAGTGCAGATCACAGGCCCACCATGCCCCAAAGAGGAGCCCTTGAAACTCCCCAAAGCTTATAGACTGAAACAATATTTTTAAAACAAGCAGATGATTTATCATGTGCAAAACATTCCAGTTTTTCAGTTCTACAAAAGATAGCAGTTTCACCAGCACAAGCTCCTTGTCCCCACATACCCAATACAGCAAACTAATGCCCAAAAGTCAGCCAAAAATGAAAACAGAAGTGATGTGACTTCACATTCAGTCAGGTTAGGTGCACCAATGTGGCCTATGGGTGAAGTGTGGGGCCCTAATTTTAGTTGCCCACCCCTGTTGTAGGGAAGTGAGCTCACCAGAAGCCCACAAGCACTTTGTGCTGAATCTTTTAAAACCTCAGGGAATTTCTGTGCAAATGTGTTTATTTATTTTACTATCATTACCAGGAGAGAGGACACATATCAGATATTTTTGGCTTTTCTAGACTCTCTAGCCCCAGACAAATATGTGATACGTTTGCCTTATGTTTGTGATAACAACTTGGAAGCACACAACAACAAACACAACTCCCCAGGGACTTCCCTAATCTCAGATCTTGCCTCAGATAACATTTTTCTCTTCCTCCTCCTCCTCCTCCTTATATTTATTTGCATCCTGCTCTTTCCTGGGACTCAAAGAAGTTTCACAATATTAAAAGAACAATACAATTAAAAACATAGAAAAGGGCTGCATTAAAAATTAATTAAATTATTACAATATTAAAATAGATAACTATTAAAAATCCAATACATTTTTAAAATATCTCTCTGGCTTTTCTTCGCAAACGAAGATTCAGGAAGG